ATAAGCTACGTAGTTAATATAAACAAATCAATAGATCACGTAAAGTTTCTTTACCATGGATCATCTTCTGGTTCCCATCCATCCAATTCCTTAAAACATGATCATAAGCTACGTAGTTAATATAAACAAATCAATAGATCACGTAAAGTTTCTTTACCATGGATCATCTTCTGGTTCCCATCCATCCAATTCCCTTAAAACATACGTAACATCTTACTAAATCAGGTTCACGATCTGTTGGACAGTAGTAGAAACCTGAACCAGCCAGCTGTAAATGATTTTAAAACAATATTTCAGAATTCTAAGGTTTTAATTTTTCAGGGCCCAAGTTACGTCAACTTTGGGAGTTTAAAACTAACATAATTTCAGTAATACTTCCATATCAAGCTAAAAAGTGAAAAATATTTTACAAATTTAGTATATTTAGAACTAATTAAATTATATTCAAATATGGAATTTTAGTCTGATAATATGTTCAAATTATTGTAAACATTAAGATGACAGAATGACAAATAACTTTTGATAAATATTAATCACCAAACAATAAATCTTCAGCAAGTCTATATAATTACTAATAAAAAATACAATGAACAGTGTTAGGAACAACGTTCTCTCTAATTTCTTTAATCCATGTGTGGAATGATTTTTTTTTTTTTTTATGTGCACCGGTATCAATTTTTATTTTATTTTTTCTTGGGGGGGGGGGGGGATTTTTAAACCATCAAAGTTTTGAAATCGTTAGGCTGCTTTGCAATGCTATCAGTTGGTTATTTGGGCTTTAAACCCCAATGAATGCCAGGGTTATTAAAGCTGTCAATGTGATGAGACTCCTCACCATTACTGAGGATGTGTGCAGCTGGAATAATTAAGTGCATGGCATTTGATTGGTTGTTGTGCGGCCATGCAGCATGGAGGGAACACTGATTAGGAAATTATAATATATTTAATAAATAAAAAAAACATCTGAATAAAGCAATGGAGAATGAGCTTGAATTTCTTTAAAGCCTCATAATATAGTGAAGTATGAACATCAGTGTTATCGGTCCAACTACCTCTAAAAAACTTAATCCAAACCCCCAATAGAAATTCAACCTCATTCCCTCTTGCTTTATTCAGATTGTTCTATTATTGTTGAACATTTTATTAGTAATTAAATATAAAATTGTTCAATTTGTTATTTTATAAATTTGCTGGAGATGGAATATGTTTCATTCAGAAACATTCATTAAAGATGTTTATAACTGTTTGATACAAACTGGAACCAACTCTAACACGACTGATGAAACATATATTGACACAATGGTCGATAAAGTCACTAAGGTTATCAAAGTAGTGTGTTCAGTTGAAAGCAGTAAGGTTAATAGAATGTTAGGGTGTATTTATAGACATACTGACTACTAGTAAAAAAAGAAACTTATTATCTCTTGGTACAAGTCACTAGTTAGGTCTCACTTGGATACTATACACAGTTCTCATATTGATTTGTGAAAAGTATATCAATAATTCCATTCATAAGAGTTAATAATAATAATAATCTTATACTGATAATTACAACCTTTTTAAATTTCAGGCCTTTACAAAAAAATATTAATAGTAATAAATTAACCATTAGAAATAAATAACGAACTTCAGACAAACAAGTGTGATATTCAGAGATAATAATAGTAATATTATTGTCAATATAAAACTAAGGATAACCCTGAACTTGTTGTTGTACTATAATCTTAAAATATCTGTGCTAAGACTGGTACTGTGATAACACAATTCACCTAAATCTATACTGAATATATCATTTTAGACAGATTAATAGCTCTGAATGCAACTGAAAGTGTAGAAAATTATATTATGCATCATTTAAGTGGTTTATTAAACTTTAATATATACTCTCCAGGTGGATATGAGGACACCTGTGTGTGGCCTTTCTCGGCTTTTGACAGACTCACAGGTTATAATATACATATATTTACAATGATACTGATACTGACAGGAATGAACTGTCAAGGAAATATTAACACAGTAACAATAGCGTTGAACGAAGTTTGACTCGAGTTTCAGTAGTACAAATTTAAAATTAAATGCATAAATCTCACCTTTTCGGGGGTGCAATTACAATCCAACTCAAATGGCCAGTTTTTGAAAGATTCTAGCCGATTTTTTTCTAGGTTCATATTGTAATCAGAACCTTTCAAATATTCAAAATCCACAGACATTTCTTATACTAGTTTTAGAAACTTAAGTTACGGACCAAACCAAAATCTACTTCTTGACACAACATTCGAATCGTACGATTCAAAAAATTGTAGTCAACAATTCTGCCCTCTAGCGGTCATATTATTTTTAGGCTATCCTTAATTTGCATTTTGTAATCATCTTATACAATAGCAGATATTCCGATGTTATTGTATATATCTTTCTTCGTAAAAATAAGGGTACATCAAATACTGATATACGCTTGCTTAATCTTTAGATAAAATATTTCAACACAATCTTAAATTTTTCACATTGTTTATACTTTATAAGTTTTGAAAGTAAAATCTCCCAAAATATTCTAACTTTCAAAGGCATAAACACTAAAAGTACGATGCTTGCTTTTAACAAGATTACATATTCTTTTTATGCATTACAACAAAAAAATAAGTTAATTTAACGTAGATAGGCGAAGCTAGATATGGGCTCCAACTGTTTAAATATATTTTTAAATAAGAATATTAAATAAATATTAACAAGCGGTACAAATTTTGAATTCAAATAGTCCCTACATGCAATTTTGAATAATTAGAGACATGTCTGAGTTTATAGTTGTATAATTTATACAGAAATCGAGTAAGTTATATTAAAACGATTTTGTAGCCACACCACGTTGTTACAGTTCATGCTGTCATGTCCGATTGTATTCTATTCATTTTCAAAAGGCTCGGTCCTAAGACTGTCATGTAAAAAACAGCATTTCTTCCGCAGATTTCCCATAATCTATCTAGAGTATGACGACAGGGGTTTGTCATCGCTCATTTCGACAGTTCAATAGCGTAGAAATTCCTAGGCGCCGCGACTAGAGACATGACGAGTATACCTTCGTATTGAATAATATGAATATCAATTTACATTCTTCAGCAAAGGTGGAGTGGATATTTCGTAGAAGCAGTTTTTATATACGAAACGTGTGTCGTTTTTCCAGACAGAGATCCTTCTTGATTATTTTGCGTACTATTGTCTGGGACACGTGGACATGGATTCTTATCTGTTACGTGACACTCCGCCTTTCTTACCGTGGCTGGAGTTCAACTTGGTGCATTTTTCTTTCTGGAAAGTTCTTTTGTCCCAAATTGACCCAATCCAATTAGATACAGTGGATATCTCCGTCTTGGAAATTCTAAATCTCTGATCTGAGTGTATGCATATTTTGAGTCGGAAATGAGTAAATAGCTGTTACATACGTTTCTCAAGAGTATTAAACTTTCAGTGGCGTACACTACCTACAACATGCGAGACAGTGTAAAAATATAATTCTGACACAATCTATTCAACCGCGACTGTACATCACTTGTGGTTGTTATGTGACTTGCTGATTTGTATATTTCAGATCTCTCTGATATAACGCACTCAACCTTTGGTACATTATCTAGTTCAAACCCAGCCGAGGGTCAACCGCCACGTACCCACACATTCTGGCATTGCAATAAAACCATAGTGGTATCCAATAAAAAGACAGGACAATCCCAGTCCTCCCATGGAATATGTACTACAATCTATGCTGCTAATGCCTCTACCAGGATTACTCTGGAAGGGAGGTATGAAGCATTTGCTTTGAACTTGCAAGATTGTGTTACTTTTAAATGAATTACATATGCCTTGCCGAGCAGCAAGGTAGACAAGGCTATTGGTTTGGACTGATAGTGCAATAGGGGCAGAAGAGTCAACAGCAGGCAGTTCAAAAATTCTTTGGAACAACACGGGGGATATTGATAGATTTGTGTTCAAATGGAATAGCTTTGATTCTAGTTTCTTTGGTCAGTTTTTTCACGCCACTATTTCTGCGGTGTGTCTAAAAATCTGTTGGTCTTCAATAACTCTATATCTTTGTTTATCATTTTATTAACTATTCTAAGAGACGTACCAAATGGTCGGGAATGTGCCGTGAACTAAAGGCTAAGATCTTTTAACTTTTGCCCCTAGTGACACAGCAGTAAGTCTGCGGACTTATAATGCTAAAAACTGGGTTTCGATACCCGTGGTGGCACAGCACAGATAGCCTATTGTGTAGCTTTACTAACAGTTATAATAGATTTATTTTCCTAACATAGTGATTGATTTATGAAATGAGTTGCTGTCAGCAGTAATGGATGCCAAGATTTTACATAATTTTCTGGAAATAAAGAATGGGCATAAATTTGTAGTCTTCTAAGGGTAAATGTACAAAGACAGCCTTGATGGACGAAAAGATCCCTTGTTGTCGGTAGTTTATGTTAAGACTACTCTTATGCATATTTACAGGTAAAAGATAAAGCGTCCTACAAACCGTAATTTTCTTAGTTATGAGATGAGCTAATTTTATTTTCAATTGAGACAAATATCATTTGTGAATAATTCTGTGATGAATATAAATAATTTTATTATATTTTTTTATCTTGTTCAATATTAGTAAGCATGTATATTTCCTGTATTTTATGAAAACCCAAAATAGTTGATTTAATTTCCTTGTAATGGGCCCTACATCATGCCTATTTTCAAGCAAGCCTGTCAATAGGCACTTCACTGTTAAAGATGGAGAATAGCAGTGGGTCTGAAAATACGACTTTGTCAGCAAACTTTAAATATGATGTTGATGAAGAAGATGATAGGAATACACCAATTTCTAAAGAAAATGAGCAGGAAGGAGATGTGACATTTAGTTCATTGGTAGGAATGTAACAGAACTCTTTTTTTTTTCTTTTTTGTAGGTTCACGTGTGTAAACTAAAGAGGGTAAATTTTCACATTTCTCCCTTGGCGCTTAGTAATAGTATTACTATGAATATTAACAAGTATTGCTAAGTAAGGCTAAGACAGCTGTATTTTTCTAACATGGTGATTGGTCTTTGAAACGGGTTTCCTTCAGGGGTGGTAGATGCAGTTAATTTAAACTAAAAGAGTTTAAGAGAAAGCTTTATAAATATTTGAATAGTACTATTACTATTAGTAAGGGCTGGCTAGAAGGTTTATTAGTGTTTAATTTAATGGATAGCACAGCGAAAATGGACCGAAAGGTCATTTGTTGTCCTTCAATGTAAAATGTTACTGGTATAGAGGAGAAGTATTAGTGTTACAGTGTTTGTTGAACATCATTCCATAACAATTAATTGACATTAACTTAGGATTTTTGGTTGAGTTGCTTGAACACAGTAGCTTTCCACAATTTTTGTTAACCAAAAGTTTTTAATTGAAAGTTTTTAAGCTGCATAACTTTTATGTTTATAAGCTGTGGTAGTTACTATAGATATATACAACAGGTGTCTTATATCTGTTGATATATATACACATTCAAGGTGAATGTACTCTCCTAGCTATACTGTGATTGTATGTGTTCATATTTCACATTATGTAGCAGTGTTTGTTGATGTAATAGCGAAAGACGTTAGTTTCAAGATAATTTAAAAAAATACGTATCCTTTCTTTAATAAAAAAATATATTAAAAATTGTAGAGGTGATGTCATTCGGATGTTTAAAATTGTTAACAGCCTGGAAAACTCATTGGAACATTGGAAGGATAAGTTTGGTGTTCAAGCTGGTACTAAACAAAAATATTTCTCTGTTAACCCTTTCTATACGGGTCACAAGTGAAAGGCAATGTCATCGTGTTTGTTGACTCGCATTCAAAATTTTATTGAACTACTATTTCATGATTCGATGATGAGGAACCCACTTTGAGACTAATAATGGTTGGAGATGACTTGAATGGGTAATGAAGAAAAACTTTAATATAAGTTTAACATAACAGCAAATGTACAACATCGATTTTTTGTGTGTCACGTAGTATGTTGAATGTAGCACTAGTTCAAATTAGATGTTTG